CACACAATTGTTTCAACTTACTGGATTAAAAGTATGAACATCTTGCCCAAAAGTGTAGTTCTTAGCTAGTATTATAGATTTGCCTTACTTAATAGACTAACGCAAATTTAAATGCTTGTTGCTAGGGTAATATGCTGCCTAGCAATTGTAGCTAAGGTTAATTTGGGTTTTAATTGCCTTAAAATAGTCAAGTGACAGTTCTGATGCCCTGAAACATAGTTGTAAGCATTTCTAAACAATTTAAACTGGACAAGAAAGGTCTAATTAGCTTGTTACTAAGGAAATTCACTTCCATAGCAACAGTTGCTAAGCAACGCTTTGAAATTTTGGGCACTGCCCTTGAAAATGATCAGTATAGACCAAAGAACATTTGTGCCAAGTTTCATGCTTTTTCCACATTTTGAGCAATTTGGCCAAAATATAGCACCAGTCATCCAGACTATTATACATGTACCAGCATCTCTCTGACTGTGAATATACAGCAAGAGCCATTATGATAATCACAATAAATGCACTGTGTTGTCAGGAATCTCCAATTTAAACGGTACTGTGAAAACCATGATGGTAGCATATTAAAGCAATGAATATGACAAAAGGTCAACAAAAGTGTATTTTAGATATCTGTATCCTATAAGCAATTTATACTGCATGCCTGAAAGCTATTTCTAGGATGTAAACCTCAATAACATAAAGATTCACTACAGATTTAATTCCAATTCATTATGTGCTTATATTTTGTGGCTTAAATAATAATAAATGCCGACTGGTTAAACTTAAAGTCTTTTTTGCTTAAATTATTGTAAACAAATCAGTTCCTTTTTCCCCCACATAAATTATACAATATTCTTTACAGATTATACACGAAGCACACTTCCAAGTAAGTCTAAACTATTAGTAAAATATAATGACTATCTAAACTGTGCCCTTCTTTTAATATAAACACTGTATTTGAAAGTTACATCACTGAGGCGTGATAATGTACACACTTAAGCATAATTCATCAAGGAAATAAAAACTTTGCCAAAGGATTCCTTTCATTCAAAACAGCCAACAACCAATGACATCCATGACTGACATATCAGATGATGGATAATGTCTCTTCTTTCTAAAAACATCAGTATTTCCTCAATCATGAAACTTTCATGTTGCAGAGCTCAAAATACTTATACACACAAACAAGCACACTGTTAGTGTAATGTTAATTTGCATACTTTGAATAAACCATGTATATTACATCTCCTTACCTGAGTTAACACTGTATTACCACCTATAGACTTCCACTGTTCTTTTACTTCATCTAAGTAACCAAGATTAACCTAGAAGACAAGAAAAACATTGATACATTACACTTCTGACCTAAATAGGATGTTATGATAAAAATCATCAAAGATACAAACATCACATTCCACATCATTTAAAATGCAACTGCTACAATTTTTTTTCAAATATTCATAAATAGAAATTTGTGTCTAATTCAACTTAATGGTTTCATTCTAAGCCATTAAAAACTGAAACAAAGATTAAGAACCCTTCAATATCACACCAATACCCAAATATGTTAGTCACATTTAATAGGTACCTATAATTACTTCACCAATATCTAGCTTATTATGAAATTTTCCTACAGTAAGTGTCTAATAGACCAATGGATAGTCACATTATACAATTCATAATTGGATAAAATATTAAATTAGTTTTCAATTTTGGTAATACATCCAATTATGAATTGTATAATAGACCAATGGATAGTCACATTATACAATTCATAATTGGATAAAATGAATTAGTTTTCAATTGCGATAATGCATCCTGCTGCTGGCAGACGAATGTCTGGACCATGTCATATGAAATTCATAATTTTATCAATTTCAGTTTGAACAACCTTAACAAACTTGCAAAAACAGAAGTATCTTTTCACAGTGCACTATCATTGTAGCTGTTTTTCGAAGATTTTTGCTTTTTCAAAGATTTTTGCAACAGGCAGGCCTAAGGAAGGAGAGTGGGAAGGGATGCAAATAACTCTGACCACATGTATTTACTTATTCAGTAAGTCTCATGTCTACACAACACAAAAAGTCACTTCTTATATTCTGTGCCACCCATCCATTATTAATGGTTTTTACCTGTGTTGAGAGTCTGGAAGCCAATGTCATTCCTAGGTTTCCCTTCAACCCCAGTAATGGTGGCACCAGTATAAACAGCTCTGGGACCTTGTGAAACACCGACCAATGCTGGAATTAACAAGATAAGATGCATTAATGTGTAGGTTTAAGACTGTCAGATTTGCAGTACTAAACCATTTCTTTCCTTTTTTTTTTCTCTAGCCAAGTGATGATAATTAATCTAGATGTGGCGATGACTTTGGTTATTCTTAACTGAAGAAACCCGAGTCTGAGTCAAAATAATGACGCACAAGCATTGAATAAGACAAGTGCTTCCAAGATTAAAATCTACATATTCCTTGAGAGTTGTGGATTATAATACCACACTATCAAGTCAACAATGTAATAAATATAAAAGAATATTGATAATAAATAAAAGTTTTAAAAATTTAAGTACCCATTTAAAGTATCAAATACTGTAAATAAATAAATAAATAAATAAATAAATAAATAAATAAATAAAGGAAACTCAAATGAAAAGAAAAACTATGTGATTTCTTTAAACTACTTTAGACATCAGAACCTTTGCCTAACCTGTACAATATCCAAGACCATACCAGCAGCCACAGTGCCAAACCCTGCAATGATATAGGGCAGCAACACTTGAAGAAGAATTGTGAACTCTGTCTCTTCTTTCCCAGTCAATTTTTTTTCATGGAGATCATCGTCAGAGTCTTTACCCAGAAGTCCTTTCTTTAATTCTTGTTCATTAAGTACTGTTTCAGTATCACTGAGTTCAGGGGCGGTTCTTATGCTGGTGCCACCATTCGCCTCTCCATCCGACGTCCTCTGCTGCTCGCCATCCTCGTGAAGAAGGCGATGGTGTGGGGACGTAACATCAATATTATCATCATGAATGTTCACTTCCATCATCTTTGGCACGGGGGATTTTAGTTGTTCTTTCTTGTCTGTTACGTCCGAGTCTCCTGCTGCAGCTCTCTGACGTCTTTGCCTAAGTCTTGCACTCGATCTAGTCGGCAAGGAATCCATGTCGGCCATTTTGGCTGTGGAATATCTGTGGCCCTTGGTGCCTGTGTCCCAGTTCGCTCATCCTGTAATGAACAACGATATTCTTGTAAATAGAAACAATCAAATCTGAAATGAAAATATTTGTTGTGAGCTTACGAATGAAAGATGAATAAAATAATGAAAGGTGCATCAGTATATCAGACACCATGAAACAGTTAAGTTTAGTCATTCATATACACACTGCTAATAAGCCTTCAGACCCAGTATAACATCTGTCCAACTGTCTGTGTTGACCAACAGTAGAATCTGATGGCTTACAACAACTCATTTCAAATTTATAAACCTATTTTGGTGTACTGGCTCTCTGAAACACTTGGTCTTAAGAGCTCAAATGCTCAAACTTCAAGCAGAAATGAGGTGACCAGTAACCGAACAAATTCACACAATTTCATAGGTCCAGCTTCAATTTAACTGGCATTTAGTTTTGTCTTAAATTGGCAGACTTTCAATAGCTCAGATTAGACAGTAAAACTTTATGTGGACCAATATTGTTCTGAACTGTGCACTGTCAGCTTTTATGACTATATATATACTAGTAGTGGCACCTTTAATTTTAAGTTATGGTCAACTCCAACAAACCTCATACTAAATGGTAGTTATAAATCCACAGAAATTAACATCAGCTAGTCAAAAATATACCACACGCGTTAAAATTGGATTAGTTAAAGAAATAAGTGAGTTTTGCTGTACTTGTCATTCATTGTGCCCGTATCTCTCAATAATGTATTCCAAAACAGAATTTCTAAATACAATATTTAATAAACCATGATATCTTAATATTCAATGGCAATCAAAACTTTATGATAAGCAGGACTGACACAGAAGTCTTGTAAAACCTTCATAAAACTACAGGTATATCATTATAATACATCAAACCACCAGCATACTAATGCCGAGTTCAAATAATTTTAAACTCCCATATATAAAACTGCTCTCTCCCATTACACAGACACATTTTACATATTTTGTTTTTTTTTCCTTTTATTTATTTATTTATTGTTTGTTTGCTTGTTTTTAGTATTCCAAATGAACCACTGATAACCCAAGAAGAAATAATTTTAATTAATTACTTACATTCTTTGTTTTAAGACTTCTTCAAAATGGGTTTGTTTGTTTCAATATTTTGTGCTTGTTACAACTGTTAAGTTATTAATTCCTTTTTTGTTTGCTTCATATATACCTTGCTTCATATGGTCTTGATCCATCCATTTCCTAGGCTTTGTTATACACAGCCTGTTGAGTCTTCCCACCTTGTGCTAAACATACACTGTATGCAAATATACCTACTATATATCTAAAAATCCCTTGATTAATCAGGTTTCAGAAAATACTGGTAACATCTGCATATTACACAAACAAAACTGAAATTTGACCCTTCATAAGACATCAAGTGCAACTGAAACTGTGTTTCTCAATATGCAAATTTTATGACTTGCAGACTTGACCACTTCGGATCCAGTTTGTGCTTGCACATGCATACCCGCACTCAAACACAGGCAAACTAGTACCAGTACACAATTTCAATTCCATCATCAGGCAGTTTGTTTCAATTTAGCAAAAGATTTTCCTACATAAACCTCTAACTTTCAGTGATTCTCTTACTTCTTCATATAAAATCTATAGTAAGACAGTTATTTTTAGGAGTCCTGGACCATATGTGTACCTGTTCTAGGTGAGAAGAAATTAAGGAGGGCTCTTACAAAGTCAATTTTAGAATCACTTTTAGCTTGAGACACTTAATACCAGTTAAGCTGACTGATATCGAGCCTGTTAAAGAATTAGAAAAGCTTTAAAGAAATTTTCTAACCGATTGCAACTCAGATATCACAAGAGCCTTAATTGTCCGGCAACAGTGTAACTCCACATTGTGGACTGCAAGCTGTGCACCTAAAATATTCAATGAAACCAATAACAACCTAATACTAGTATGGTACTGTGATCACTGTAGTTATTCATTGCTAGAAAGATGTTTTATACCTGCATCATGTTAAATGCACCGAGTGTATTAAATGTTTTTAAGACGCATTCAGCTAGGGATGTTCAATTAGACTTCAGTTGTGGATGTTTGAATTAATGGTAAAAACATGAAAACTGAGTAAATAATTTGTCTGTATGTCATGTTTGCTTTCATTCCTCCATATCTTAGTGAGTAACTTAAACTTATCAGCACTGTAAATTACACCTTGGAACAATGGGTCTAAGATTCTATTTTAGATGTGTAGCTTTTATTACTGGTATATAAAACAGAGTCAGTTCCCTGTATTTAAAGATATCTTAGCTGTCACACAGTTTTATCTTGTACAAACACATTTCTTTAAAATTAAACTGTTTTAAAATAATCAAATCTCAACATTATTTATTGGTTAAATGCCACGTAAACTAGTGGTTTTCTTTGAGGTGACATTTCAATTGGAGATTCATGCAAAGCAATATAGGGTCCTTGTCTACTTATCCCAACCATTGCATGTACTGCACATACATAAATAACTGATGAAAACTGTGTACTTCCTCTTTTGTGGTAAGAGAATTTCAAATGTAAACTGTATGTTTTTTTCCAATGCTGGTACAGTGTTTACTAAAAGATTATGTTACACCAAAGCACTCATCTTTTATAGTTCCACATGAAAGGAATTTGTTCTTTTTTATTTCTTTAGATATAGCTGTCAAAATGGTTTTTCACTCTTTTGCCCTTTTTATGCAAGTTTGATTCCTCCCAGTATAACAGATTTGCTAACTGTTCTTTCTCAAATTGGACATGTCTTATGTCATTATAAATAAAGAGAATTTATACTTACTTGGAAAAGATGGGTAGCCTGGCAGTCAAAACCATAAATTCATATAATAACAACTCTACCTGCCATTCTGCTTGTAAATTATCTTTTTATCACAGAAACCACCCAGACTGCAACTCATGGAAAACAAAACCTGAGATCACGCTTGGGCTAAATTTGACACTGGTGACCTGTCTGGACGGATGCCACATTTAGGTTTAAATAAAAGATGTTACACACCAATCCATGGAGACAGAATGAACCTTTTAATAATGAGCTGCCCTGAGTAAATCACTGCATGGACAGATGTTATATTTCTCACAAGTTGTACTTGATACAATATTGTGCTTGTTCTTTTTAAAATCCATTTTTAATGTTTTCTCTTCTTTGCACATTCACTCATGCATTCACTAGTGCATTACGTGTAAATTAAATCAAGATACATGTCCTACCTTAGCCTGCAACATACATGTAAACAATTATCCTTTGTATCCTCATAAGGCCAACATGTGTCTTCTTTTATATAGAACGACATAAGGCAGTCAATGTCTACATTTGACATACTAGTCACAATCTGACAAATACATGTACTAGTAGGAATTAATTAAATGTCTACTTCTGATAGTCAAGCTGTTCTTACTGACTATAGCAACCTTATCTTAAGTATCATGTTGATAGAACTCCTACAAACAGGCAAGAGCCATGTTCAGATCACTTTCCACAAAACAGGTTTTAATCCCAATCTTTGACAGCAGAATCTTCAAATCTTTGAATTGCAATCCCTCCTATGTAATAAATCTGTAATTCCACCAATCAATCCTTGTGCAAACCACTTACCTTGAAGATGGCACATACATATATATAGGCATTACACAAAAGGGAGGTCCTAAAATGTATCTGCTTTGTGAGGTTTAGATTAAACAAGGNACATCGACAGGGACGGCGACGACAGACGCAGGTGATGGCAATATGTACATAAAAAGCCCTGCTTTGCGAGACTAAGTATGAACATGAATTCCAACAATTACATTCTTTAGTGACAGCTGTATATCAGTCAGCAGGCTACAAGTATAAGGATATACGATATAATAATAATATAATGATACGTGGTAACAATGACACCCCAGCCTGGAGGGTATTTGTATCCTTTTACTAAAACCAGCAAGCCGCAACAAACAGGATCATCAAAATTTTGGCCATGTCACTACCCACACTAATCAGTAAACCTTACCTGGACCAAAGTTCCCTGAATCCCATGTCAATCTAAACCAAACTACAGTCACTGAGACCAATCTCAATGTCTTCCTGGAGGAGGAGGGGCTTATAATCTATTAATTTGTTGTCAATTAGTTCCAATAATGCCCACGGAAATGCACAGCTGCTGCTAAAAATCTGTCCAACTGGTGGCTTGACATTTTCCACATCTGAACCACTGTGACAGTAATTACAATGACTAGACACACTTGAGACCTTCTAAATGCTGCGCTTAATCTTGACAATCACAACATGAAAAATAACACTGCCATCCTCAGGACTATTCTCTCATGTAACAAATGATCAAGCGCATGCGATGGTTGATAGCTAAACACAAGACTGCAGATGAATTTTTATCCCTTTGGTTTAGTGTGCACTCATGTGTTAAACCACAGGAGTTTATTCAGAGAAGAGGATTTATTCACGGTCAGTGAGTGGGTGAGTTTACTTTGTACAAGGAACTTCAAGGTATTTGTCTGTGCACGAGAATAATGTCATGCTGATCTCATTTAAATTTATAACAGGCTTTATTTCAAGGACGAAAACATTTTTAACAGCGAAATAAGTACAGTTTGATTAACATATGAATATGACGTAAATCAATTTACTAAGTATTCATACAATAATTTATTAATCAATTAATTCATTAAAAAGTTTCTGTGTTTTCACTTTTGTTTATCAACAATTACTAGTATGTTGTAAAAAAATTTGCTTCTCTCACTTTTTACACACCTAAAAAATAAGTTCTGCTGTTTGTAGATAATGGATATGAATAATTTACGACTGAAATAATTTATATCTAAAAACTGAATATCATTTTTTCATAAATTCTTTTTCAGTGATTCGAGGGTTGGAGTTGACATAGAATATCAACTGTAAAATATGAAAAAAAGACAAATAAAATGTAAAAAGTTCACACTGAACCAATAATTAGCTTGTCATGCCTTTGGCTGTGTCACTTCCCACAAATGAAGTTCTAACATACAGTGTATAGATCTATATATTGTAATAAAGCACTTGTATTTTAATCTGATCTTAGCAAAAAAATACCGTCAGTGTCAAACTAAAAAGATAAGAGTTACTTCTTTTCTCTATATACAATAGCAGTTGCTCTAGTTTCTTTAAAAATTCCATAACCTGCTTTCTTCCATAATATCAGAACGGTGAATTCATTTTACTTTAAAAATAGTATAATTTATCCCCCCCCCAAAAAAAAAAAAAAAAAAAAAAAAAAAAAACTCACGAAGACAACGATTTAATACATTCAGTTTGACAAATAATATTTAATCTGAATACTTATGTGGTGTCATCCACTGCATATGTGACTACCCCAAAATAACCGTAAATGTTGCAGATCTAACTAAAATGACTCCATTAAACACTACTCAGGATGGCCTAATAATTAAGTAAATGGTGGATTGTTGCCGAAAAGACATGACGTATTTAATAGCCTAATTGGCCTTTTACAACTTTCCATAGGTATCGTTTGAATGAAAAGAATGGATGACGGTTAAGCAAACAGATTGAGGGTTATAATTTAAGTAGAGAACGTAGCTTTAATGAGAGAAACTACCAGACAGAGCTTACCACTCCAGAAGCCCTCGAAAGTTGCAGACGGATTGCAGCAGGTCACAGATTTGTTTTCGGCAACTCCGTTTCTAGACATTTAGTAGACAACAATGTTATTTCTTACTTACTGGTTATTGTTATTAATTTCACATTACTTGATTTTTTTCAGTTTTTAGCGTTTGTTCTCGTTTTATTAATTTATTTTTAGAACAAATTTACATTGCCCATGATGCATCAGTAAACATGTCTGCGCCCACAGGAAACGATTCTCGTGGTTGTGAGGACAAGATATTGCAGCCTGTTTGTGAAATGAGCACTGCTTCAACAAAATGTTCTACTTCTAAAGATCTGCTTCACATAGGAGGATCGAATCGTAAGAGTAACCCTTTCAATTTTCGCACTAAAAGTTCGAAATATACCTAATAAACGCAGTGTAAGCTTGGAACTGGAAAATTTGTCGAGGTTTTGTCGGTTTGTTTTGAAGTCAAACAGCGCTTTTAAATAACCCCGTTTGTTGAAAATCTGGTATTTGTTTTTGAAGTCAAGCTCTGGCATTTCATTTTCATTTCTTGGTTTGCTTTTGCCTGCTTATTATAATATTAGACTTGTGTATAATGGGTCCAACAATGAACATCTGAAAATTCGCATACAAGTGTACACACACACACACACGTATATAGGAAATTCTGTCGACCGCCTTTTCTTCTTAACTCTTATTTTAAGATTCAAAAATACAGTTTGTATCATTTCTGAGATTGATAAGACTGCATTAACAGATGTTTTATATACGCAATGTTATTAGTACCACCAGCGTGTACGCTGGCGGTACTCATTGGTTTTAGTCCCGACCCGTCTTGTCCGGCTCCGCCTACTGGCGCTGGATACAAGTCACCGTTACCCCTTCTCATCCTAGACCGCAAGGACCCCTGTCCCCATCTCTTGGATTTAGGTCACATATTACCTCAACTTGAACCCCAGGTTTTTTTGTCTCAGTCGGTGCATTGACCTGGGCATAACGCTCGTTGAAATGCACCCTTGTCAAAATATTTGAAAATTCAATGCCAATTATCTACCCTACCGAAGGAATTATGGGAAAATATTCTACAGGCGGTTGACTGAAAGTCATATGTGGAGATTTCAAATATGCCCTTGGATTTGATCTTTGACCTTTGCTTCAAGGTCAAACGAGCCAAAAATTAAAAAAAACGAAATTTTTTACGAAAAAAAATTATTTGCGCTGATATTCAGAAACTACACAGACTTAACCAATAATATTATTGGGAAGTGTTACCCTTCGGGTCATCTTTCATCTCCGTGAATTTGGGGTCAATCAGTGCATTTTCACGGGAGTAGCGGCCATAAGATACTGAAACTGAAAACTGTCTCTAATTCGGGAACCGTTAATGCTAGAGACCCGTTCTTTTTTGCATTTTGTAGAGCATGTAAAGCCCAACACTGACGGTGGTCTCCGTTTTTTTGTATTTCATACGGTTTTCGTGTTATGCTGTATTAAAAAGTACATTGTGGTGGTGAAAGCAGTATGGTAATGGATAATAAATTTTGAACCCAAGGAAAATAGAACATAAGGCTTGGCGAGGCAGACTTCTTCTGGTCAAAAATGACATTATTTTATGAAATTTGAACATCTGGAACTTCTGAGCACCTCCCGTTTCAAGAATTTCAACCAAAATGACCTTTTCTTTATCTTAATAAATTTTTTCTGTAGGAAATTTATGGCACATTATTGTAACTCCAGAATTGTATCAGTCCCTTATATCTCCAAAACTGGCAGAGATAGGTCAATAGTTATTATTCAAGTTGAATAGGAGGTCATATACTGGCAATCTAAATGTGACCTTGAAATTGACCTTTGACCTACTTTTTACCATGAACTGAACTTTGCAAATTTTCGTTCCCTTTTATCTCCAAAACTGGCAAAGATATGTCCATAGTTACTATTGAACTTGAATAGGAAGTCATATACTGGCAATCTAAGTGTGACCTTGAAATTGACCTTTGGACCTACTTTTCATCCTTATTTGAACTTTGTAAATTTTGGTTCCCTTGGTTTGGTTTGGTTCCCTTGGTTTATAGAGCTTGTCAAGCACAAGACTGGTGGTGGTGTCTCTTTTTTTTTTTTTTTTGGGGGGGGGGGTGTTCCATATGAATGTGCTTGCTCCAGCTGGTGGTACTATATCCGGAGGCGGAATCGCCTCTCTGATCCTCTAGTTTTTCTTTATATTCAGCTGATTTCCTAGTTATATCTAAGAAGTCGGCACAGCCAGTAAAGAATGGATTAAAAACATACAGGACAGAGCCATCTTCAGGTTTGTTTCAAATTTAGTTTTTGGATTGATATGAACTTGGGGAATTTAAACCTAACAGCATAATAATATTATATAATTGCAAAAAAATATAATAATGATGATATTTGATCACTTTTCTTCAGTTTTGAGCAGGGTCAAATCTTTTCTGCCAAAAATGGAGGAAGCCCAACTTCAAATTCAGGAAATTCTGAAAAGCAATCCAGAAAAGCTAGATATTGAACACATTGATGATGCTGAAGCCCAAGTTATAGAAATGGTTAGCACGTGTACTATTACATCATTGTTTCTTTTGGTATAGATGTGCTTGAAAAACAAGTGTTGTGCAGTATTTGAGTTAACATTTAACATGGTTTTAACATTTCTATGAGAATGTTTCAAATATACCCTGTAACCCAGCTTTTAAGTCTATTTGATAAGAATATGCTACAGTATTTAATGGTAGTAGTACATACATTATGAAGCCTGAGGGGTAAATTTAAAATCATAATGATAATATTATTCTTACTGTACAGTAACAGTGATAGTAGAGGCATTATTTTATTTTTACTTGACCGTTTCAGAACCTTGCTCTTGTGGAACAAGAAGAGTCATCAGACACAAGTTCAGATGAAAATGAAGCAGAAACTGTGAGTGATAGTGACACTGATATTGAATTTCCATGCAGTTCAGTGACTGAGAAAAACATTAAGTTATCTAAAAATAGACGGAGAGGCAATAGGTGCAAAATTGAAGAAGTTGGGGAGACCTCTAGTAAGAATGATAAACAGCAGACTGAGATGGAAAGGTAGCAGTTTATTTAGGAAATGGTGTATCCTTCAAAATATTCCCTAGCTAGTCTGTGATGTTGGCAACCTGCTTTGAGGCAACTGAACACTAGACTTGACATCAGCCTGCGACAAAGATTGTATTACAGTACCTAGTGACAAGTCACTGGATGGCCTAGTCAAATATTTTAGCAGTTGTTTTGAATTGATTTTCTTTTATCTATAGATTTTAGTTTTCTGAATTTATCAAACCTTTATCATCATGTTGGACCTTAATCAAAAACAATACTTGTGAAAGAGAAATCGCCCCACGTGGCACACTCTTTGATAGCTGTTCTGTCTTTATTTCATTTTATTTGATAATTGATTTGTAAAATATGTCAGACTCTGCATTTAATTTTTTTACTGGGAATCTTGGAATGCACTTTAAGCAGCTGTTGCGTTTTTTTTAAACAATTTTTTTTTTTATTGTATGTTGAAGGTGTGTTACAGACTACTGTAGGAGGTAGTCCAGGCTTATTAGGTTTTATTGGAGTCTTACAATGGAACCAATGAAGACAATGCAGAAGTTGGATTTCACTTGAATGATACATCTGTTCAAAAACTGAGTCATTTTGTTACTTTTATATCAAATGTTTTGTTGTATAAAAATAAATGTGGTGAAATCAATACAATAACTGGAAAATGGCATCTGTTTATGTCTTAAAAAGGTCAGTATTTTGTAGCTGAGCATAATTATAAATTCCAACCGTAAGAAACATTTTTTTTTATCAGCCATATTAGTATGTTGCCCAGTCTGAGTTTGTCTTGAGTATGTATTTTGCTTGTTCTTTAAGGTGGTATACATACAGTCAGCTTCTAGTTGATCAGGTAATAATACTCTCAATTAGTTATCTTTAAGATGTTAATATAATTATATTAAATAATGAAATATCAAAGTAAAATATGATACATACAATAAAATATATTTATTGAAATTGAAACTCCCCTTCCAGGCAAACATTTTATTTTACTACCCTTACTGCAATGAGTTGAAAATTAAAAGTAAAGATTGAAATAGAAAATATTCCAGGACTATCACATATATCAGAGATTATACTAAACGTAAAAATACTGTAACAACACAAGATATCATTTTTCATAAAACAACCAAATAATAATTAAAATTCACATTAAAATTGTTTAAAAAGTTCATTTAAACAGACCTAGTCTAGTTACAAAATTTTTATGGATACTATTTAGCAGTTTACTGTTTGCATGCTTACATATGTCTGTCAAAGAATAGCAATTTCTTCATGTGAAATACATTATGTCCAATTTACTTTTACCTGAGTGTAAAAAAAATAGATACATGTAATATATCTCTTTTTTTCCAATTTACTTTTACCTGAGTGTAAAACATAGATAAATGAGTAAATTAAAAAATAAAAATAAAACAAAAACACTCATTTTAATTCAGCTTTCCTCCCTTGTTTGAACCAAGGATGCAAAAGTTATCTCAAAAGACATTTCGGATTTTTATGCTTACTTGTAGATAATTGTCAAATTTTACTCTCTGAAAGGGAAAATGTCCCACTTCCTGACAAAGCACCGACTTGGAAGAGAGTGAAATACTATAACCCAATCACAATTCAAATATTTTTAAATTCCAGTACACAGATTAGAGAATCTCACATCCCCAACAGCACTGCTGTGGGTAATCCGGAGCGTAAACCTGACGCTCATTGCCATACACCCAAAAACGCGTGTTGACCTCCTTCCATGTGTAGTTGACCTCTGACACTGGTACTGCTCGCAATTCTTGTTTCTGCAAAAGAGAAAACCCTGGCCCATTAGTACAATGAGTTTTGATGTTAGCAATTTTCTATAACTGCTGCAACAATCCTGTGAGCCAAAATTTACTTTTCAAAGGAAATTTGATGTACCAAGGCTGCTGAAAATTAAATGTTCAAATTGATAGTCTATTGTTAAACATATCATTGACAAAAGACTAAGCTAAAAATTGAAAATAAATTCCAAATAAAATATCAAATAAACAAAAGTGTACATTTGGCAAATTTTTTTAATGAACTGGTGCCCCACCCCAATTTGAATAATCACAGCAACCTAAATAAAAGAAAATGTAGCTCGTGACGGCATATTTTCTAGTTATCAAATCAGGTATGCTGTGGCAAATCAGTACACATAAAACAATAATAAATAAAAATCTGGTACTTGAATGTAGTTTGTCAGTTAATTTCTGTGTATAACAAAACACCCACTTGCATTAACTGTCTTTCATTAGGAAATGCCCGACTGTGTTTCTCCACCAGAGCCACCGAATTCTGGTTGATTTGAGGCACAGGGTACTGTGTGACTGGCCACACCTGAAGTAGAAGACCAGAAGCAAAAACATAAAAATATTACATGTTACACAGGGTGCTGAGTAAAAGATTAAAGAGAATAAAGACAATAAAATGGAGGAAAATGATTACATATATAAAAACTGCAGATGCTGGTCGTGAAGTTCATCAGCCAAAACCTAAGACTAAGTCTTGTTAAAAGTTTGTTCAGAAGTCGCTCTGTCTGCAGTTTAGTGCTATTTACACAAAAATTTGCCAGTTCCCCACCGTTGGGAGATCAATGAACATTTGGACTTATTGGAATATGTTCTTCAAATTATTGATTAATAATCAGGACATGAAGCTTTTATCAGCGGGCAATGTCGATGAGCCAGAAACAACAGAAATACCGTCCAGTTCCAAAATCAGAATAGTTGCTTTATTGAATTTCACTTAGATTTTTATTACAGATTACTAGTCAAAATAACATTGTTTCATGTTTATTTCTTTGACTTTCCACTGAGAAACTCTGGAAGATAACTTTCACACACACCTAATGCATGCCAGCACATCTTCAATTTTTGACTTTATTCAAGTATGTGTGAATAGAATACTTCCACAGTCCCTCAGCTTGACACCTAAATAACCTTATCATACTTTCACTTTGGTAAGTTGGGTGGTGCTAAAACAAATGTAATAGATGAGGAATTATCTTGAAATGTTATATTGTAATTGTTGTTTTATTTATATAATATATTATTTGTGTAAAAGAGAGAGATTGAGAGCAAGAGTAAGGAGAAATTTACCTGCGGCAGAACTTGCTCAAAGATAATGATTCCCCCTACATCTCGGACCAACTCATCAGGCATGTCTGTCTCTTCCAGTATATAGTCTTCAACATGGTTAGTACTACATAAGAAAATAGCTAAAGTTATACTTACAATCCCTCTTTAAAATTTAGATATACACTTAAAGTGAAATGCTTTAAGAGTGATTATTTTTCTAATTACTAATATTCATTTTTCATTGTATTAAATTATGTATTCTTAAGTTTTGTAATTGATTTGCATTATATGAAACTATTATGAATGCATGAAGGAAATTAAACTCCTGTTCTTTTCTGTTTTGGTAATCAAAACAGATAATTAGCTGTGTGATGGATTGGATTATATGACATAAAATAACACGTACAATATCACTGCTAGCTTAACATAGCGCTCCAGGTCTCTGTAACCTTTACATTTGGAGCAGGTCACCCTGCCGTCTCCTCCACACGTCAGACACCTGGAAATGACAAATATTGTTTAAATGATTAACCAGGGATTATGATTGTGATTATCAAATGATGACTGCAGTACAATGAACAATATTTTTATCCATTGCACCACCCCCTACACACACCTCAAAAAAAAAATAACTGACTAAGACTCAATGTTAATTTTAAACAATGTTCAACTTGTAACTTGGTTAAAAAAACAAGCAGCCCTACTCGCAACTATTACAAACCGCGAACTTGATTTAACCACCAAATTCAAAACCAGCACCACAAACGTATGCAGAATTGGCCTTTGAGGCTTATATTCTTAAACAAAACAAAGAATAATAGTAATTGTGCTTTGGTCTTTTCTCTGGTCCCCTGGTTTTATTAAAATTACAGCCCGTACCTTTTCCTTCCATCTCCCCCGCAGGAACCACATCTGACGTCTTGCCATTCTTTCTGCCTGTAGACTCTTTTCCTACCATCACCTCCACAAGAGTTACAGCGCACCTGGCCACGCCCACGACATCTGCCACACCTCAACCAGCCACGGCGCTGACAGCGGAAGCAAGGCTGGGGAATATGAAACAATTAACTTTTTGTTTCCTTTTTTTCATAAAATCATACACTTAAATAAACTCTATGAACAATGTTTAGCAGGAATTAAAACAACCCATGGCTCTTCCAATTGAGACATCAGGAACATTTCAGCCAGTTGAGCTGGTGACAGCAAACTGTTGAACAAATTAATAATATGATTTTACTCAGGAAATGTTTGTATACATGTTAATACTATAAACAACTTTAAAATGGCCAAAATCTTACTCCAAAAGACAAAACTTGAAATTAACATATAAATTTATACAAAGGTTATAGAATGGAGAGCTTTTCATTTCCCGAATTCAAATAAAAAAACAAGAATTGTGATCATAACAATCAGAAAGACTACGTATACACAATAATGTCATCCAACATAACACTGAACTTTTACTCACTATAATATCTGAGGTATGAGGCACTTTTAGGTACTTTGTATGAGTCAGGAATAACTGTTGAGGCTCACAAGGAATTTGCCAGGGCATTGGCGCCTGGCCATACTGGGGACCATCTATATGTTGACCTCGGAAGGGGTCATAATCATAGAATGTTTTACGAGCCTCTGCAAATGTACTCAGGGTGTACTGAAAATGCAAATAGGAAGTTAAAATGAATGTTTACCAAACTTTATGTCTAGACTTCAATAGTTTGGTGAATGAATGGACAAGTATGAGCAAGGTAAAATATCATATTTGGATATGTACATGTACAGGTGGGGTT